TTGGTCCTCAGTGTAAACACAGAGTCGAACATTTCAATCTTATTTTACGGCAACCACAAGCAGATCCACAACCTTTCTTTTGCATCTGCACGAGATGCTCTTCAGTAAAACATTGGAACTGGTTTCTTTGCCATTTGTACTGCGTCCAGTCCTGCGGTTGTTCTTCGCCATCCATGATCTTCTGGAGGTTTCTGAATTCCCCGCCAGCTCTGTACTTAACAATAAGTTCGCAATCCATCTTATGTTGGTGACAGCGGCGCTAAATTGAATGAATTTTTTTGTACATATACCGCAGAGAGTCCAACTTGCGATGTTCGCTACCTGCACCATACTGTCTCAACATAAACAGTTCGCCAGCGGCAAATACTTCGGTGAATTCGGCACTGGGGTCGTCAAATAACTGGATCGCGTCTGATAATGTTGGATTTTTTCCAAAGTTTTGAGGAATCGAATTTTGTCTTGATTGAAAAACGCCGATATAGTATTACATCCACTGAAGGCATGCGGAAATAACATACTTTTTGCCTCAGCATCGCTATATTGTAAAGTCTGAGGCGAATAGAACACATGCTCCTTTTTCCCTCTACAAATAAAGATTCGGAATCTCTCTGGCTTTAGCAGTCAACAACAATAGCAAATCTACATCTTCTCCAATAACGAATACAGAATTAATGAATCGCCTGCTTAACATTGTAATTATGTGCTTCCAACTTTGTTTGCAGCAATGTGATGAGTCCCTTTTGTTGAAGCTGTTTGATAAAAATTGTTCTTGCGATACAGTTGGAATTATGGATTCATCGAAGAATATATCAGTGCTGCAGTGCTGCTTCGAGCGGCGGTTTCTTTCAACAACATATTGAAAAAATTGCAAATTTTATCCACAATTTACTATGTAGCACAGAAAAGAATATATTACATACTCGTAAATAATAATAAATACTCGTAAATAATAATAAACAATAAGTTGAGGCCGAACAAGGGGCACGTATGCTATACCACAAACAGGATATTCATGACAACTAATGCGCCTAATAAGGAAATATTGACTGTAGATTCTGATAATTACAAAATCTTTATATCGGAGTATGTAGGGGCGCGCTTCAAAACATCATATAATTTATTATATACAACCAAATGTATCAAATCGGGCATTTGCAGACTCAGAAATCATTACTCTTTTAGAAAAAAAATATGACACAATTGTTTCATAGCGATCTTCGTATTAATCCGCGCTGAAATTCTCATTTTGTTGAACATTCCAAATCAACCCCCTACTTTGGCGCGTCGTAGAGCGAGAACTATTGGTCGCAGACAAAAAATGTGAAAGTCAAAAGTATGCACGATTTTGACCTGCACATATTTCATTTAAATTTTTTTTCGATAGCACTTACCACAACGGCGCTATTTCCCGAAAAGCATCGCGACGCAGAGTTTTCTCCCCTCCACCGCTCGAGCGGCAACCTCCCGAGGTCGCAAACTTAGGTGTAGTATCAGGGGACCCATGTCTACCATCCCACCAAATTTCATTTCTTTCCGACCTTTTGCGAATAGACCCCCTTTATTCTTTACCCATCGCTTGGACCAACAACCTCAAAATATCCGAATTATTACAAAAAAAATGTTTCACCACCCTCCTACACTTGGAGGGGGAGGGGGCGGAGATCATAATGGTCCCTTCCAAATAACGTCCAGACAATATAATACCGTTCCAATCATTAATATCCTTATAAATTAAATTGTAAACTTTTTTGTTGGGGGTGGAGGGGAGGTAGTAACGAAAATCGGCTTTTCTTACATTTTGGTCCTCCATTATACAACCATGGGCGGAGGGAGTAAGAAATGGTATAAAAAAGGGGTGGGAGTAGGAAGTCGGCCTACTATTAGAATTTCATTATCTATACAACCAATGTCTCAAAATATCCGAATTATGACAAAAAAATGTTTCACCACCCTCCTACACTTGGAGGGGGCGGGGATCATAATGGTTCCTTCCAGAGGTCCAGACAATATAATACTGTTCCAATCAATAATATCCATTATAAATTAAATTATAAACTTTTTTGTGGTATTGGAGGGGAGGTAGTAACGAAAATCGGATTATATCTTGCATTTTGGCCCTCCATTATACAACCATGGGTGGAGGGAGTAGGGAGTAAGGGGGAGGGCTGTATCCAAAATCTCCAGAACCCAAAGGTGAGAAGGTGAGTTACTTTTGGGTCTAATTGAGACAAATAAGTCCAATCTATCGTATCCTAAGTCTAAAGGTTCTATATATCGGCCTCCCCTGGGATGAGGGGAAGTATATACAAATAAAGCCTATTTATAAATGACCATAACGTATGATGAAATCGTTTCAGACGAGGCCTCGCTATTAGGAGAGAATTTTTTTTTTTTTCGTTTTTCATGGTCATCTATCCCTCCATGTTATATTGTCCATGTTGATTCGAAATTAGAGGCTGCTTATGTTCGCTATATACTAATTTTGTTAGTCAATCACAATTCATAATTGTGGATCAATGGATTTCATATATCGAAGGTTGGGGAAAAATAGGTACGAAATATTTCCACACTAAAACTCGTAAATAGCTACTAAACAAAAATTAAAAGAAGGAAATCGGATCACAAACAAAAGAAAATGGTACTGAACTATTTCGTCCCATTAGTGGGTAATTGTTCAATATTTTAATTTGTGTTATAGACACGCAAACAAGTTTTAAATAAAAGTTATATGGATTTGAAAAATACATATTTTAAAAATATTTTTGGATATGCAGGGTGTTGCGTTTTTGCCTGGCCAATAAAAATTTATGTTTTTTAAATGGAACAACCAATATTTTATTTTATTTTTAGAATGGTTTGGCAATACTGTATTTAATCCTAGAGTATTTTTAAAAAATATTACAGTTTTGCCAAGCAATTAATTTTTGTTCGAAATTAGAGATGATGCAGACCCCAATTTGAATTATCATAATTTAAGTAGGTTTACAATGATTTCAAAATTGTTTAAAATGCAGATTTATAATATACATAGTTGTGATTGAACTGGTTTATTTTATACAAAGTGTTTTAAAACATGTAAATATGGCTAATTTTAAGTTCAGTTTACTCATTTTTTTCAAACGCAACACTCTATTATCTTATCATTAAATTTCTTATAAATTTTTCTATACAACGATACCAATATGTTAGCCAATAACACATATACAGGGTGTCCCCTCAGTGCGTAATTGATCGATAGCTGTTTTATTATTAGAAATACGCAGACATTTTTAATATAAAAGTTATATGACCATATTTAAAATTTATTCTTAAATATACAGGGTGGTCCATAAACGAAGTGCTAACCAAATCTATACTTTTTTAAAGTAAAGCACCCTGCAAGTAATTATCACTTCTTCATTTCAGAAAGGGAGGCATCATAGAAAAAGTTTGGGAACCACTGCATTAAATGCCAGTATGCCGTACTGCAACCTGGATTTAACAAGTAGGTAAGTAAAAATTATGTTTTCTACACCCACATGGATATTAGCTTATCTACGCACAGACTACAAAACGATAAAGTATGCTATTGCGTTCAACTGAACGAATGGGAATATATTTTATATCCATTCTACCTAATACGAATTACGCCAAAAAAATTAAATCCACCAATCACAGTTCATATTTTGGTCACCCGACTACTGTAATTTTTAAATAAGTGACAAATCTATCAGTATATTTTTTAGTTATTAAGATTAAATATATGTTAAAATTACTTATTCTTGTTTAGAATCGATAAATAATAGTATTTCTATTATTATTTCGTAAAAATAAACCATACATTTTAATAAAACTATATGAAATCAATTTATTAACTAAAATATTATGTATGGCGATGGAGCAGTGACTAGGTCATTTGTCTGTCACGCAAAGGTCCCGGATTCAATTCTAGGATTGGAGACTAATTTAATTGTTTTTTTTTTCAAATTTATTTTATTTTATATTATATTAGTAAAAGTTACAAATAATTTTTTTCTACGACTACTATCCAAAGTAGGCTTTTTCGCTTCGAAATTCAACCGCAAAGATGACGTTTTCTGCGAACTGACATTAAATGATAGCTTTGTCGATCGCCGAGCGGAAAACTTGACACATTATACACTACTTATAACAAATTTTCAGTTTTTATATCTATTTCTTAAAAAAGTGTAATCGTAGAAAAAATCTTGTGTGCATTTTGAGCAAAAAGTTGGTTGCAACTTTCGACAGATTGCCGCACTCTGCTACGCGTCGCGCGTACAACGTTCTGTCTCAAGCGGCAAAGTATCACTTTTCGCTCTTAACACACAAATAGCTATTAGTTATTTTATCATAAATTTTCGTTAGTGGGTCATAAAAAAATATACTGTACAACTCGAGTTCATTGTTTGTATGGACATCATATCCACTCTTGTTGCACAAACTACTATTTAGGTGATGTAAATTTAAAATAGAGATGACATATTAAATAGTAAACACTTTAATGGTTTAGTATTATTTTAAATATGTTTTTCCCACTTCAGATTACCACCAATAGTGACTCCAAGATATTTAATATCATTAGTAATTTCTATGAAATAGTATGTTCTATTTGTCAATAAAATGATGCATATGCAACTGACAGTACAAGAAAGTAGTAATACTGGTTGCCTAGATGGTCAGTAATTTCTTACCAAAAGACAATTTTATAAATACCTATTCTAGTCAAAATTAGAAAAAATATTGTATGTAACATGTTAAGAAATGCCGCTTTCTGTAATTCGTTCAAGTTGCGGGACCTCGTTCTGCTCGTCCCGCAAATATCTGGATTCATAAATAGCTAATTGCCGACCGATGCCCTTTGATTTATCTAGATTACGGCTGTAGGTATCCTGTATCAATGAACTGTTTTCGTTTCATATAGTTTGCGAAAAATTACAACACGTGGCAACATTGCGTCTCCAGGTAACAATCGCGGCGAGTTTGAAAACAAAACATGATCAACTTTACCTTAGCAGCAGGCTAGACCGCTCGGGTGTCGGTTTCGTAAAATTCTTGTCGTAGTGCTTTCTTCCGAAACTGTCAGTGCGGTTAAAAAGTGTTCAAATTTTCGTATGTTGTTTTGGTTTTTTCTTTAAGTTGTTTTGTGTTTATATTTGTGCGACATCAAACGCCTGTCTTGGGATTATATTACGGCTAATTGCTTGGATTATTTAATATTTTTGGAACAGGTAATGATAATGGTATTATGACTTTATGGTTAGATTTAGTTGTTAATTATGGGAGGACAATACTTCTGAGAATATGTGTGTTGAAAACACTATTTTCTAACGGGTTTTTAAAAGGGTTTTCTTTTAATATAAGGTACATTTTGGTTTGTTTGTATTGTTCGCTTGTTTACTATTTTTGACAGAAACCATCAATATTTTTGTTTTAACAGGCTTTTATTTCTTATGTTTTATAGTATGTTCTTTTAATTATTTATTTTATTCAATAATATTATTGTTTTGAAGTAATTGCTGATGCTATTTTCTTTAACATTTTTAGGTATACTTAATTTTTATTTGTACTAGGTGACACGCATATCAAATGTTTTCCTGTTCAACCCCTTCCTCTACAGACCCACTGCCCCAATTTTTAAATTAAATCGCATAAGTATATATACTACAGGGGTCAATTTTGGGACCACTTATTTTTTTAACGTATACCTAGACGGTGGCCAACGACGTTTTGACATTTTTGACAATGCGATGTCTCCAAAACGACCTTGACGATCATTTGAAAAGTTTATAATAACGGCGGCTAGTGCATAAGTGCTATAGAGCTGCCAAGAAATGCAAGTTGGTATCTCATCTACATTTCACAGAAATTATTTTAGACATTCTAAAATTTACGTAAATTAAATAAAAACAACGACACAATATTTTTAGGCTCTTAAAATATTATAAAACTTTTCGAAAAAAAATTGTTATTTTTAAAAAATACAGGGTGCTAGCTTCGAATGAAGCCACCAGAGCACCTCGGTTTTTTTAAAGCTTTTTTCCAAAAACAACCACACCGCATTTTTACGCTATTTTTAGGCCCTTGAAATATTATAAAACTTTACTAAAAAGTTGCTATTTATAAATAATACAGGGTGCTTTGTAGGAACAAAGTTAGCAAAGCACCTCAGCTTTTATACCTTTTTTTCTAAAAACAACCACACCGCATTTTTAGGTTATTTTTAGGCTCTTGAAATATAAAACTTTTCGAAAAAAATTAGTATGTTTTAAAATATACAGGGTGCTTTGCTAGCTTCGAAAGAATACAGCAGAGCACAGGTTGAATCTTAAGTTGGTACTTCTTTAACTGTGTATAAGTAGTCGTAAAAATAAACATAAAAAATAAACATAAAAAATAAAAAAGATAGAAAACGAAATCCGGGCCTGGACTTGAGTACTAAAAGTTAAACGTAGTAAGTCTGTTTATATTTTTTTCACACCCACATGGATATTAACTTATTAACATACAACAAAACGAAAAATTATATTATTGACTGAACGAATATATTTTATATCCATTCAATGCAAAAAAATGAAATCCACCAATCACAGTTCATATTTTGGTCACCCGACGACTACTTATTATTTTTAAAAAGTGACAATTCTGTCAAACTAATTGTCAGTATATTTTTTAGTCATTGAACTTACATTGAATATACATTAAAATGACTAATTTTTGTGTAGAATCGATAAATAATAGCATTTCTATTTTTATTTATACTATACCTAATCATAAATAATTTGTTAATTTTAATAAAACTCTATGAAGTCAATTCAATTACCCCAAATATGCCGGTGGATGGGTGGTAAGAGTATCTGACTTCCACGCTAGAAACCCAAGTTCGAGCCTCGGCCGGGGGACTTTTAAATAATTTTTTTTTATTATTATATTTGTTCTTATTTATTTTAAAAATTATTAAAAGTCATAAATTATTTTAAAATTATTTACTTATTTTTTCTTAATAACCTAAAATATTTTTTTTATTTGTAAATTTTCGTTAGTGGGTCGTAGAAAAAATATACTGTACAACTCGAGTGGATTGTCCACATCGCACTCTTGTTGCACAAACTACAATTATCTGATTTCAGTTTTTCTTATGAACATGAATCGCAATTCACGTGTACCAGTTTTTGTAAAACAGTCGCCTGATTGTTGAGATTTTTTTTTCGGTGCTCAAGCAAAATATTAATCTACATATAGAAAAAAAAAATATCACCAAGATTGAGCTCTTAATATCAATTTTAAGTACTTACTATTTAAATTATAAAATAAAATATTTTTTTTAAATTTCTAATTCTTACCCACCCACCTTTTACAATAATGTAAATCGGTTTGATGGACCTTGTGAAGAATTTTTTTGTGTAACTCGCACTGGTTCACCAGTAGGAGTCGTCAAAGTACAGTTTAAAAAAAAACATTTAATTTTTTTGAGCAAACCCCCAAAGGTAGGAAGAAGAAAAGGGCTGACTCATAAAAAAAGTTATCCGACCAATATTTAATGAATTTACAGCTATTTTTATACCTGAAAACGTAAGAAATTGATAAATAATGTTATTTAGATTAATTTTTTCTATTGATTACCATTATATTTCCCTACTAAGAACTTTTTTAGAATTATTATGATTTCTCACTCATAATGAATATAATTCCTGGACTTAACTTTTGCAGACGATTTTAATGACATTTCTGTAATAGAATCTCAAATGCCTTTGTTACCTTTAGATTCTTACCATCATCCTGGTTTAGAAACAATTTTTAGTATTAGTTTCACTGGCCCTTTGATAATTAATCATGAGCTATTGATATATCCGGATATATCAGTATCCTCAGGCAGATTTTACTAAACTTAACTTATATTTGGAACAAACTGATTGGTCTTTTTTATACAGTACTGTCGATCTCGATGTAATGGTGGATATGTTTTATAAACACCTTTTTAAGGCCATTGACTAATATGTTCCTAAAAGAAAAATAAAAAACCAAAAATATCCAAAATGGTATGATGGCCCTCTGAGAAAACTAATATCTGGAAAAAACAGAGCAATATAATAAATTTAAAAGGACTGGATATGCTTCAGACTACAAAACATATTCCGACATTCGACGTGAGGTAAAATATCGCATTGATCTATGCTACCTTACTTTTGTTAGCAATATTGAACATGTAATTCCTGAAAATGTAAAATATTTTTGGACATTTATTAATAGCCTAAAAAGTACAGAACATATGCCGTCTATCATGAAATACAACAATGATACTTTAAAAACAACTTCATCTATCGCTGATACTTTTGCACTACATTTTGAGTCTTGCTACAGTAACCACATCACTCTTGACTTAAATCACTTGGAATCAGTCAAATTTGGTTCCCATCTCTCAATTCACATCTTTAAAGAAGATGAAATAAAGAAGAAAATGTTGGATCTCGATCCTTCCAAAGGTTCTGGTCCAGATGGAATACCACCTATCCTTCTCAAGAAGTGCCCTGCTTTATCTGCACCACTGTGCACAATTTTCCAGAGATTATTCGACAGAGGATATGTCCCGTCCAGATGGAAATATTCTAACTTGGTTCCAATTTTTAAGTCCGGGGATAAATCAGACATAAAAAATTATCGAGGCATTTCTATGCTATCAGCAATTCCTAAGCTGTTGGAATCAATTTTAACAGATGAATTATTTTACACGTTTAAGAATTACATAATAGATGAGCAGCATGGCTTCTACAGAGGCCGTTCAACAACTACTAATCTGGCTATTTATCAGGAGTTTATTACCTCTTCGGTTGAAGCTGGTTACCAAGTTGATACAATTAACACCGACCTCTCTAAGGCGTTCGATAGTGTATGTCAGCAGTTACTTTTAAAGAAACTATCTGAAATTGGGATAACCGGCAATTACCTTAAGTGGATTAAATCCTATCTTATTAACCGTCGGAAGCGTGTTACAGTGAATGGTTCTGTGTCGCGGGAAGTGACAGTGTCTTCGGGTGTACCCCAGGGTTCACATATTGGCCCTATTTTATTTTTGTTATTTATAAATGATGTAGTGTCCTGTTTTAAAAATTCTCATTGTCTCTTATATGCTGACGATTTCAAATTTTTTAATATTGTGGAACCTAATTATAACGCCCTACAGTCTGATTTAGATCAATTTGTCTCTTGGTGCAGTTCTAACTATTTAGAACTAAACATATCAAAATGTAAAGTTATATCATTTTACAGACGTTCTAACCCCGTCGAAAACTCATACATTATTAATAATACTATGCTGGAGAGCGTCTCCACTTTTATTGATTTAGGGGTAATATTCGACAGGGAATTATCCTTTTCTTTACATGTTGATACTATCATTCTGAGGGCGTTTAGGCTATTAGGATTCATAAAAAGAAGCACAAAGCATATACAAGACACTAAAGCAATAACATGTTTGTACAGTGGTTTGATCCGAAGTATTTTAGAGTATTGCAGTACTGTTTGGTCTCCGTCACAAGCTATTTATGTCAACCGAATTGAACGAGTTCAAAACAAATTTTGTAAATATTTGCTATTTATGTGGTATGCAAACTCTTGAACGGAGACGCAGGGATGCAATGTTACTTTTGCTCTACAAAATAATTAATGGAGACATTATTTGTGAAAAATTGTTATGCCAAGTAAATTTCGTTGTTCCGTTAAGGCATACTCGACAGTCACAACTATTCTTTGAGAAAACCCATCGTACAAACTATGGACAAACAGCTTTCATGAATAGGCTTTTGTGCAACTATAATAAGCACTATTCTCACTGTGATATTTTTAATTGTACGTTATTATCTGTTAAGAGGATGCTCGAATTTTAAAATTTTAGGTTGTTTCTTGTCTTGTATGGTGTTAGACTTTGTTTTTTAGACGTTAAATGTATTTTAAAATTTCTGAAGAGTTTTGATATTTATATATTCGGTTTTTTTTTATATGTATATACTTATACTTTAATTGTTGTTTTAGCTTTAAGACTGTGCCATTTGGAATTCATATTTCTGTAGTGTACTTAAGACAATAAATAAATAAATAAATAAATAAATAATTTAGAAGAGCGTTAAAATCCATACAAGGTCCATCAAACCGATTTGCAATATTGTAAAAGATGGGTAAGCATTAGAAATTTGAAAAAAAAATTTTTTGCATGCATTTTAAATGGTACAAATTTAAATTTAAATAGTAAGTACTTAAATTTGGTGAGATTTTTTTTCTATTATATGTAGATTAATATTTTGCTTGAGCACCGAATAAAAAAAAAAAATTGTGGAAGTGAATCACCCTAATCTACATATATCCCACATTTTACAGTACTTACATTCTGTATATATAAAATGCTAGAATACTCATTGTTATTTTAAAATATAATGGTTAAATTTAGACATATTTAAAGTTTAAATATTTTTTTTATGGTTAGACACACAATGATGTAAGTAGTTAAAACAACTTTCGTGACTTGGGTTGTTTTGATAATTTTTAAAACACATTTATGTTGCTTACCTGTCTAGGGAACTCGTTAAATTACCATATAGTTATTACGAACCAGTTTATTCTACAAAACTGCCTGAAGTGCTTTTAGTTACCTGGTTTGGGTACAGGATTATACCTTCAAGCAGATTTTAAGTATAGCTAATACCTAAACTGCAAAATTACCTAAATTGTGAAAAAAATTTCAAGAAACTGATAGAAAACAAATTGGAAACGATAGGATCTTATCTTTTTTTGATATCAAGCTCTTACACGAGCTCCTACATTTTCTCTCTATTCCATTAATTTATTCTTGACAATCAACAGTCTTTTTAAGATTAAAATAAAAGTCAAGAATACCATTCTTACTGCTTATATGAGTAACGATTAATATTTTGCTTGTAGGTTCCTTAATATCAGTAAAATAAATAATAATAATAATAAAATTGTTTAAATAAAAGTTGTTTTTCTACACCCACATGGATATTACGCACAGACTACAAAACGAAAAAGGATACTATTGTCATTAACTGAACGATAATATTTTATATTCATACTGTGTAGTGAGAACACTGCATAAAAATGAAATACACCAATCACAGTTCATATTTTGGTCACCTGTCGACTATTATTTTTAAAATTTTAAATAAATGACAATTCTGTCAAACTAATTGTCAGTATTATTGAACTTAAATATACATTAAACATTAAAATGACTTATATTTGTGTAGAATCGATAAATAATAGCATTTCGAGCCACGGCTGGAGACTTTTAAATTTTTTTTTGTTTTTCATTTATTTTATTTTTAAAATTATTAAAAGTCCTAAATTGTTTTAAAATTATGTCTTAATAACTTAATTTTTGTATATTTTCGTTAGTGGGTCGTACAAAAAATATACTGAACAACTCATCTCAGACGATTGAGCATCATGGCCATCATATCCACTCTTGTTACACAAACTACTATTCTCTATAATTATTGTCCTATACATAATTTCTCTAAAATGGACCGTATTCGAGATATTTAAGAAAAGGTGCAAATTTCGAATTTTGAAGATAACTCAATAACGGACAAAGACGAGGATAAAGAGAAAATCACCAAATTTTAAACTTAAGCTTTAATCCAATCCCTAATAAATTGATTAGATTTTAGGCATAGTCGAAGCATCTAGGGGGATACTTTAGGGAGTCGTTTTTATACTTTTTAGAATAAATCTGTTATTTATGCTTGGAGAAGAAAGTTTGTTAAATAAAAGATACTTGTGATGTCTGTCTCTATAATTTTTGTTCCATACATGATTTCCCTAAAATGGACCAGATTCGAGAAATTTTAATGCAAAATGCAGATTTTTCTCCTTATTTTCACTTACGACTAGTTCCAAAATTCTTTCTTTAATTAACCCAATCTTCTCTATAATTTTTGTTCTATTCATGATTTCTCTAAATGGAACGTAATGGAAAAATGCAAAATTTTAATTTTTCAATATTTTCGTTGGCCATGAATACATTTAAAAAAAATGTTCGACTAAGATGTGTGTGGAAAACATGTATTTAGTTCATCCTCTAAATATTTACAGGGGTAAGTATTACATACAATAGGTTGTACAGAGTAACCGGAAAATGATAATAACTTTAGGTAAGACAGGAAAGTCATGTGCTGGACACATAAGATTTTTAACTAATATGTTTTGAAATTAAATCTCTTCGAATTAATTCAATGTAAAATTTTTGTTCATATTTTTTAATAGCTTCCTTCGAGGCTTCCTTTATTTGTTGAAAAGAGTTAAATGTAGCCCCAGTTCTATTTCCATCTAAAATGTATTGATTAACTTTTGTTCATGTTGATAATTCAGTCCCGAGTCCAGTCCTCATTAAAAAACCTATTTAAAGACATCTAAAAACATTTCTCACAATGATAATATTTATAGCTATGATGCAAATAATGATTTATTACATATATAGTTTAAAAAGCAAAAAATATAAGAAAATATGACAGGTTCCGAAATCCTTCTGTGGAGTTGCTAAGGCATCGAGTAAGGCATCCATCATACAATGGATGCAAAAATAGTCTCAGGAATGGTAGAACAACTACCCAGGATTGAGACAGGCCAAAAAGTTCATTAAGAAATCTTCAACCAAGTTCACGAAAGACTTACTGGATCAAAAACGACAAATGGATAGGACTTACCGGGCACGGTCATCTAAGAAGTGTCAAAAATCCAGCAGAAGAAGCAACATTGTGCAGGTTCTGTGAAGAAAAAGAGGAAACATCAATCCACGTCCTATGCTAGTGTGAAGGCCTGACTAGATTGAAATTTCTAACACGTGGTGAAAAATAGTCATACGCATGTGGGAGCCACTGTCAAAGCTACTAATAAAAAAGACAGCTGGACGGCACACTGTAAATAACGCTGTCCTACAATATATCTGAAAAGGTCGCGGTGAACTAGGACAAATAATCCTTTTAAATCTAATTTAATCTATTCTCCTTTTCTTTAAACTGTCAATCAATTTACATTTGGTCCTCCTTCATTAATAGGTTATTGAATAAATTTTTTATTAATTTCGATAAATATACCTAAGGTTTCGACTATGATTGAGGGAAATCCCACTTAAGCGGATTAGGTCCATTGTTATTACAGTAAAAGATACTAAATAATGCGATAGTTCGGAAAATGTTGTTTTATCTTGAAATAGATGAATACAATATAAAATAAATGTTTAAATCAAGTTTTACTGCATGTACTGTACTATTATTTACTTATAAACTTTTATTACATCTCTGAGAACGCACTCGTTATTGTTCTTCAAATAGACTGTAGCAATATTTTATATTTTTTTTTTTCAGGTATAGTGTGCCGAATTCAAGATGTCGCTACGTACCGTTTCTTCACTTTTCCGTCATCGGAAAACGCCGAACCTTTAAAAGATGCTCCAGTCGTTGGAAGAGTATATAGTAGAAATGGAAAACCGTAGTGCCATAGACCAATCTCGCGCCGCGAACGTCAGCGAAGACGTTTGGACGCAATTGCACCAAAAAGAGAACGATTTAGTTTTAGCGGCCGAGTTGGGAAAAGCGCTTTTAGAGAAAAACGAAGAACTGAAGAGACAGCAAGAATCGCTGGAGGAGGAGTATTCGAAAAAATTAGAGGTAAGTCGGAAGTAGATTTTTTTTCGGTTTTTTTCGGTTTTTTTCGGTTTGCCTCGATGAATTCTACAAAACGATTGAGGTAGTATGGAAGGGAGATGCCGAGGGGTAAACCACTAGAAGGTCAAAACGAACCCATATTTCGTAAATCGCCAATAATTCATATGATTCACCCTTGATTCTATATGATTTCGTCCCTTAACTTTATACGATTTATATAATTTTCTATGAATTATCTCTACATTTCCTTATTATATCCAAGTGACCTTTTTTTTTTGGGGTGGGGGGGGTTCCTCAATTTTTGTTCGACCTTTTTTTGTGGATCAAGAAGAGCTCCTACCTGCTGCGTTTATATTTCGGAGCGAAAAAGTGTTTTCAAAGTGATCTTGGTGATGATTTGGATCATGATATTCGATGATGATTTCGGAAATTTCGAGACAATTATATAGCAATTTCGGAAGTGGTTCACCTCGGGAGATACTATACACATTTGTTGTTCTCAACGACCAGTGAGCAGGTCTTAATGGAATAACAATATGATGGAATTATTAGGATTTTATTTAAAACCATGTGTAGTCCAATCTGAAAAGCATTTAAAAATGTATTTTTTATACTCATATAATGTATTATTATACAGTGTGATAATTTAAAAATGGGCTATTTCTCACAAACGAAAGATGATATCAAAAAATACTTAAAACCTTTTCTAGAATAGGAAGGGGGAACTAAAATAACATAAAAGAGAACTCACCCCCATCAACACCCTAGTCCCCACCTACCCCAACTTAAAAAGTTTAAATAGCAAACCCCTTCTTGTGATACATCATTAAAAAGCCTATAAAAAATGCTACCAATGGTAATTGTACAGCCTTAAAAGGAAAATTTTATGAAGTATTTGTTGAACTACAAATTTGTGAGTTCTCTTTTATGTCATTTGTCCCCCTTCCTCCCCTAGGAACAGTCTTAAGCATTTTTTGATATCTTTCGTTTGTAAGTTTTTAAATTTTCACACTGTGTACATACAATATGGTTAAATGAAAGGAATAAATTCATTATAATGGAAGCAGTTGGTTTTTCAAAAAATGCTCGGACAGGTCAATTTTGTTAAGCGCAATTTTTAAATAAAAAATTCAAGTTGTCCCCAATTTTTTTTTCTTGATTTTGATAGATCTTGCATTTCCTACTCGGAAACATAATATTTGCAATATCCTACATAACAGTTTTTTTTTGAATAAAAGTAATTTAAATATCAGACATAAATTTTATTTTATTTTGAGAACGCAATAAATGAATGAAAGATAATTATTTGTAATTAAGTGCTTAATCTAACAAAATAATAATAATAATAATAATAATAATAATAATAATAATAATAATAATAATAATAATAATAATAATAATAATAATAATAATAATAATAATAATAATAATAATAATAATAATAATAATAATAATAATAATAATAATAATAATAATAATAATAATAATAATAATAATAATAATAATAATAATAATAATAATAATAATAATAATAATAATAATAATAATAATAATAATAATAATAATAATAATAATAATAATAATAATAATAATAATAATAATAATAATAATAATAATAATAATAATAATAATAATAATAATAATAATAATAATAATAATAATAATAATAATAATAATAATAATAATAATAATAATAATAATAATAATAATAATAATAATAATAATAATAATAATAATAATAATAATAATAATAATAATAATAATAATAATAATAATAATAATAATAATAATAATAATAATAATAATAATAATAATAATAATAATAATAATAATAATAATAATAATAATAATAATAATAATAATAATAATAATAATAATAATAATAATAATAATAATAATAATAATAATAATAATAATAATAATAATAATAATAATAATAATAATAATAATAATAATAATAATAATAATAATAATAATAATAATAATAATAATAATAATAATAATAATAATAATAATAATAATAATAATAATAATAATAATAATAATAATAATAATAATAATAATAATAATAATAATAATAATAATAATAATAATAATAATAATAATAATAATAATAATAATAATAATAATAATAATAATAATAATAATAATAATAATAATAATAATAATAATAATAATAATAATAATAATAATAATAATAATAATAATAATAATAATAATAATAATAATAATAATAATAATAATAATAATAATAATAATAATAATAATAATAATAATAATAATAATAATAATAATAATAATAATAATAATAATAATAATAATAATAATAATAATAATAATAATAATAATAATAATAATAATAATAATAATAATAATAATAATAATAATAATAATAATAATAATAATAATAATAATAATAATAATAATAATAATAATAATAATAATAATAATAATAATAATAATAATAATAATAATAATAATAATAATAATAATAATAATAATAATAATAATAATAATAATAATAATAATAATAATAATAATAATAATAATAATAATAATAATAATAATAATAATAATAATAATAATAATAATAATAATAATAATAATAATAATAATAATAATAATAATAATAATAATAATAATAATAATAATAATAATAATAATAATAATAATAATAATAATAATAATAATAATAATAATAATAATAATAATAATAATAATAATAATAATAATAATAATAATAATAATAATAATAATAATAATAATAATAATAATAATAATAATAATAATAATAATAATAATAATAATAATAATAATAATAATAATAATAATAATAATAATAATAATAATAATAATAATAATAATAATAATAATAATAATAATAATAATAATAATAATAATAATAATAATAATAATAATAATAATAATAATAATAATAATAATAATAATAATAATAATAATAATAATAATAATAATAATAATAATAATAATAATAATAATAATAATAATAATAATAATAATAATAATAATAATAATAATAATAATAATAATAATAATAATAATAATAATAATAATAATAATAATAATAATAATAATAATAATAATAATAATAATAATAATAATAATAATAATAATAATAATAATAATAATAATAATAATAATAATAATAATAATAATAATAATAATAATAATAATAATAATAATAATAATAATAATAATAATAATAATAATAATAATAATAATAATAATAATAATAATAATAATAATAATAATAATAATAATAATAATAATAATAATAATAATAATAATAATAATAATAATAATAATAATAATAATAATAATAATAATAATAATAATAATAATAATAATAATAATAATAATAATAATAATAATAATAATAATAATAATAATAATAATAATAATAATAATAATAATAATAATAATAATAATAATAATAATAATAATAATAATAATAATAATAATAATAATAATAATAATAATAATAATAATAATAATAATAATAATAATAATAATAATAATAATAATAATAATAATAATAATAATAATAATAATAATAATAATAATAATAATAATAATAATAATAATAATAATAATAATAATAATAATAATAATAATAATAATAATAATAATAATAATAATAATAATAATAATAATAATAATAATAATAATAATAATAATAATAATAATAATAATAATAATAATAATAATAATAATAATAATAATAATAATAATAATAATAATAATAATAATAATAATAATAGTAAAAAAGAGGGGGTGGGTTGGCTCAGTGGTTAGAGTCATGACTTTGAGATCGGAAGGTCTCAGGTTCGAATCCCACCGTTGGCCGGGATTTTTTCATTTAATTTAATTATTTAAAATTAATTCTGATGCCTTGGTAGGATTCCCCACTCGACCATTCACTGTTGGGTTCTAATTAAAAGTGCTGTTCCTAAAGTGGCGCTGGGAAACAGTGACAAAGCCTACACAGAACACGAGGCGAAATAACCTTAGCAGTTGAAGCCGATGACACACCAAATAAAAAAAAGAATTTATTGACAATTTTACATCAAAATAATTCAAAAATATTCTACTAAATTAGGTGTTCAAAATGTCCCCTTTTATTATTACAATAAATATTATTATTCATGAAATACAACCAAATCAATATCAATTGCTCAAATTGTTGACCCTTAGCTAAACTACAATGGGAAAGACGTGCAGCGATCTCTTCTTGAACGTTCTCCAAAATTTCCGGAGTTATGTTTGCAATCTCATTACGTATCCGTTCTTTGATATCATTGATATTTTGTGGTTTATTTTAGTACACTTTACTTTTCAAGTATTCCCATAAAAAGGAATCGGGTGACCTAGTAGCCCATTCTATTGATCCTATTCGACCTATCCACCGATTTAGGAAGATGCATAGTGTGGAGGCGCACCGTTTTGCTGTAGCCACAATTAATTTATGTTTGGAAACAATCGATTCAATTCGGAGATCAAGAAGTAAGTATGGCCCAATAGTCTTATTATCTATTATTCTCTCCCAAACATTCACTTTCTCTGGGTATTGAGTATGGTACTCTCGAATCCAGTGTGGATTTTCGGTGGCCCAATGCCGAGAAGTCTGACGATTGACATGACCGTTTAGTAAAAATGTAGATTCATCGAAAAATATATATTTTTTAAAAACATTGGATTTCTGTTGTTTTTGTCCATTATAATTTCACAGAATTCAACTCGTTTATCAAAATCATCTTCCATAAGTTCTTGTACTAAAGTAACTTTGTAAGGATGCCACTTTTGCTTTTTTAGCGTTCTAAGAACTGTTAAATTTCCCATTTCATTATCTAATGCTACTTGCCGTGAACTGGTATGGGGATTATCTTCAAAGGCTAACTAACAGATCATCCAGTTTCTTGTTTTCGGAAATTGGGTTGAAGCTACCTTTAGTGATGTCTTTTACATGACCCGTTTCTCTGAAT